GAATTATATAGTTGTTGTATTGGAATGTCCTGACTCGTTCCCAATGACAGATTCATTGTTTGTTCTATTCAATTATAAAGTATAGTATACCAGAACTATTTGTTGACAGAAAGGGAAGTCATGATATGGAGAATGGTTAAAGGTCAGATGGGGAGGAGTATAATGAGAAGTATTCAAGACCATCCGGACATGTTAGAAGTCGTCGAAGTCTTTTATCAATCGTTCTTACAACGTCTCAACACAACGAAAATCACTTCAACGGATTTACTCGACTTGTTTGCGTTTTTGTTGAGTTTATTAAGCAACGAAGCGATCGCATTAAGCATCACATGTCATAACAATTTCTTGCCGGAGCAAATGAATATATTCGCGTTAAGAAATACACTACTTGGGAAGGTGGTGAACATCTTTTTGTTGGACTATTTAAACGTCTACGGCGATCCGTTTTCAAGAGACTTTGGAAAAGTCTTGAAGACGCTGATGCCCCTTGCAGAGACCGGACAAAAGATATTTGGCGATATCATTGCGGCTCTTTTGAAGTTCGAAGACAGCCAAGCGCAAACGTTTGAATGGATCAACTGCTTCTTTGAGATAAACAAAGACAGAGCAAAACTGGAGTTTAATAGAAACAAAGTGTATTGCGACTCGTTACTTGGATTTGTCTTTAGAAGCTTACAATACACGTTTAAGAGTATGTGCGAAAACTCCGAACACCCCGTAGTGATGGACTATACTTACTTCTTGGAGAATGACGTATTCAATTTATATGAATGTAGCTTGTGTCGTGCAACACCAAGTGACGTTGAGAAGTTTGTCTTTAAAAAAGGAGAAAAGACGAGTGTGAATGATTTTGAAAAGATGATCTATCCCGTCCAGGACGATACAAAATTTCCACGCAAAACACAGCAAAGTAATACACAAGCGGAGACTAAACTGTTCTTCTATATATTGAAGTTGACACAAATCTGTGTCACGCCGATGCGAGAACAAATCGACCAACTCCTTTCGATCTACCCAAGAGCTGTCCAAGCAAGAGATGGTATTCAAGCTGGATATGCCAAACAATTAATCATATCCTCGGATGCTCAATGCCTGAATTCAGTTGCGGTGTTGAGTAATTCGTACTTCATGGCGGAGTTGGTGAAGTTCTTTACAAAATATTTGCCCGATGTGTTTGGTGTGAACTCAAAGAAACTTTCATTCACGCCATTTGTGTTGGCGTTTCTCCCGGAGTTTGTTGTGAGCATTATCACAGACTATGTTGGAATGTGTTTGAATCTGGAAGCAAATGGAATGAGTGTTGGAGCATTCCCTCCAAATTTGGATGTCGTCATCTGTTCATATTTGTCTTCGTCCAACTTGTGTAAAAATCCATTTTTAAGGTGTGAGTTGGGTGAGTTATTTGTCGTGTCCATAATTCAACACGAGGAAGTGTTTAAATCACCACACGACCTTTTACTCACCGATTTTTCTAAAGCAAATGTTGTGTTCTCGTTATTGTGTTTTTACGTCGACTGCGAGAAGACGGGAAGTCACACGCAGTACTACGATAAGATCAATTGGAGAAGACTGATACAGAACTGCTTTATCAAATTGTGGAAGTACACAACTTACCAACAAAATATCATTAAAATATTTGATTCGAATGATCAAAGAGTGTTTCCCGCATTTGTTCAGCACATCGTTTCCGACACCAATTTGATGCTGGAAGATTCGTTGCTTAAATTGGCTGACATCAAAAACGTTGAGGACAAACGTGCTGATAAAGTGGATTGGGAAAGAATGAGCGAAGAAGGGCGAAATGACTTGCTGCGAAGTGCTGATGAGAATGGGAGACAAGTCAAGAATTTGTTTTCACTTGCGGAGTCTTCTTTCCAATTCTTAAAGTTGGTTATTGAGAAGACACAAGTCCCATTTTTGGATCCATTAGTTATAAACGATGTGGCAGCGTGTTTCAACTACTTCTTATCGTGCATTGTTGGCGAAAGGTCTGGAGAATATAAAGTGTCGAATTTGGAGCAATACAACTTCCATCCGAAAACCCTTCTCAATTTCTTTTTTGACATCTTCCTTTATCTTGGAAGGCACGACAATTTCATTGCAGCAATTTGCGAGGATACAAGGTCGTTTAAAGAAAGAACATTTGAAGCCGCATTGGCGTCAATAGAATACATTCAATCGAGAAGTCCAAGTGAGTTAAAGGAGTTCCGACAATTGGTCGAGAAGATCAAAGGATATTCATCGAAGGATATTTACGCAATTGTAGAGGAAAAGATGGGTCTTGACATTCCAGAAGAGTTCTGCGACACTATTATGGGCACTTTAATGAAAGACCCCGTCGAGTTACCAAATAGTCACGTCATTGTCGATAGAACTACAATAGTCAAACATTTGATGAATTCCAAAGAAGACCCATATGACAGAACACCATTGGAATTATCAATGGTTATACCTCTTCCCGAGCTCAAGAAAAAAATCGACACATTTGTCAAAGAACAATACGCCAAATTGAAGTGATTTGTTTCTTTCAAAGAGCATACTATTTGACTCTATTTATACTCTTTTTTAAACAATACGTATAGTTTAATTATACTATATTTGTTATATAATAATAGAAAATAGATAGTACATACTTATTGATTTATTGTGTTTTCTTGTATCATTTTGTTCTTTGGTGATAACCTCAAAAACATTCCAGTAGGGCGAGGGCATTTTCTTATTTAATGATATTCCATGAGACTGAAATATTGAGTTGATTTTTTGATTCTCAGGAGTGAATGTAGTGTATATAACAGAGAAGGATGGAAACCCTTTACTTCTTTTACTTCCTCTAATTGATGATATTATTTCCATGTACAATTCGTTACAAATTTCAGTTAATAAATGCCCATGATAAAATGATGTTCCAACAACCAAAGATGCAATTCTTTTCTTTGAATAATTGACATTAATCAATCCCGTCTTATTCAAACTAAGGATGATCGACTTAAACATTTTGTTGGAATATATATCATGTTTTGAAACATTTGCAAGACATGAAGAAAGTAACCTTATCCGTCCTTTCACTTCTAAAATATCAAAAGAATGCTGGATTTCAGTTGAATTATCACGCAGTGTTGTGATACTACACGACACACTACTTTCACTTAAAACAAGAAGACCAACTAGTAAAGCATGTTCTAAACTCCTTCTTGTGTTCATTAAAATTAATTCTCATTTTTTGGTTTAAACTTTTATAAATTGGACTGTGTGATGTTTAAAAGCATTTCATCTGTCTTTGTTTTATGTTCGGTTTGAACCCTTTTATTGGAAAAATTGTGAAATTGTAACAAAGTTTCATTACAATCATCCATAGATAACATTGATGCGATTTATGCTGTATTTTAACCACTCAACTAATTAAAAATAAACCAAATCATAACTATTATTCGATACATTTAAATCGAATTAGAAAAAACATATTAAAAAACAAATTAAAAGTGTTTACAATTCCAAATAAAGTACAATTATGATTTCATTATATTTTTGTTTAAATTCATTTTTTTCAAAGTTTAAAAAACATTTCTTTTTGTTCGTTATAAATAGATATTTTTTGTTGAAAAATTTTTATTAAAAACAATAAAAAAAATATATATATAATTTATTAATAATTAGTATAATGGTAATAGAAAAATTAAATAAAATTTTTATAAAATTATAAATTTTTTTCATAATTGAGTATATATAGAATAAAATGAATTGAATTAATAAAAATATTTTTAATATATTTAACCATTCGTTTATTATTATTTACACAATGTGATAAATAGTTGCATCACTTGATGTCAAAGTCAATATTTTATAAATATATTGTTTTTTATAATAATAAATAGTAGTTCAAAATAATAAAAAGTGTGATGTGAAAAATCATCACACAAAAAAAGTCTTATTTCACAAATTATATTAATAAAAACTATTTTTATAATAATATATAAAAACAATAAAATTAAGGTCTTTGGATCTCCACAAGAGGCGGCTCATTACAATGCACTTCATGAGTGAAGGGATCAACATATCGATTTCTGTGACTTTTATGTTCTTCGTATTTGAAGGGTGTTGTTATGATTGGGGGTTTTATCACGTCAAATGCGGGCGGACATGAACCTGCAGGCTGAAATTTCCCGTATTGTTCATGAGGAGCTTCCTCGGAATCTACCCGTCGAGCCTTCCAACTAAAAACGTTTAACCAAGACATACGGAGTGGTGACGTCTGCTTTTTTCAGTCCCTCCTTTTCAACACACCTTTTCCATCAAAGACAAACGGGATATAATCTTCCTCTCATTTTTGACAAATAAAACTCATCATAAATGTTATAAACAACGTACTTTTGGGAAATTTGTTTTTGTTGTTGATTTTTGTTCTTTTTTTACTAAGTTTTTTGTATTTGTGAGGTTTTCATCCCATTTATCCATCCAGTTTATTATAACTTTTATTTTGACTTTAAAAACAATGTATCATTACTTATACTATATTTTTATTATACAAACAGAACTAATCAAATAAATCAAATGAAGATATTATTTTTGGTTGGAAAATACATGATTTTTTTTTTCTTTTTTCGATTTAATCATAATATAAAGTTGATTTTGTCGAAAATTGACTAGAAAGTCGCATTTCTCAAATTAATATTTAATTATCATAATAATAATAATAAATTATAAAAATAATTATCAAAAATAATATTTTAATAATAATTATTATTATCACTTTTATTGAAAACAAAACAAAAAAAATAATTACCTTGAAAACAAAAACACTAACAACACAATATAAAAACCACCAAAATTGTAATATGGGAACTTAAAAAACAACATGAAATAAATTTTTATTAATTTTTAATGGAAGTTCTTATTGGTTTTCGAAGTTTTAAATAAAAAAGTGAAAATAAAACCCATTTTTTAGAGAGTTTTTATTATCAAAATCACAAAAATAATTTTTTGTGTGATTTTTCTTTTATTCAAACTACACACAACCTCTAATTTTTTAATTTATTTACATTTTTAATTATTTATACTATACATTTTAATTTTTGATGGTTGAATGTGTAATAAAAAATAATAAAAATGCCGTTGTTTTATTTAGTGGTTTGTGTTATAATATAATAGTTTTAATACATCCAAAAATGTAGGATTATTCATATAATAAACTATTGTTGTTATTATTAAGCACAATGAAAGTTATTGTAATTTACTAAAATTTAACCAATCAGCATAAAAACTCGCACTGAAATGGGAAAAAAAAGTGTAATAAAAATTTAAAAAACTTATTATAAAACAACCCACAAAATTTATATCCTGAAATATTACTTTTAATATGTCTATTTTAAAGTAATAAGACGAATACAAAATATTTTGTATTTTGTGAAGTCAAGTCCCTCTTTTTCTATTGTTTTGTGAATAAACAATCTTTATTCTAATTATCCCGTTGTATTAAGTCAAAAAAACGATGACAAATTCCAAGATAAGCAAACAAAGCAATACCGTACCACTCAAATTTCAAAACAATTGGAACTGACATATTGGAACAAACAATTCATATTGTTTGTACATGAAGGTATTGTTACTATTTACCTGCCTTTTTATGACCGTATTTTCCGAAGAGGGCTCGAGTTTAGAGCTGGCAGACGATTTCGCTGAAAACGAATATGAGTTAGAGGAAAATGCAGACACAGAAGTTGCGGAGAATGAAGAGGAAGATGAGTTTGATGACGATGAAGAAGAAGAAGCTGATGTTGAGATGGAAGACGACGATGAGGAGGAAGATGATATGAAAGACGACGATTGGTGCTGGACAAGAAGTTGCAGAAGAAGAAGACGTAAAGAAAGAGAAGAGAGAGAACGTCGTGCCAGAGAAGCCCGAGAAGCTCAACAACGAGCTTGGCAACAACAGCAAGAGAATATTCGAAGAGCTCAAGAGGAAGCCCGACGACGTCAACAAGAACACCAACGACGTCAAGCTGAGAGAAGACGAAGAGAAGAAGCTGAGCGCCGACGTAGACATGAAGCTGCACGTCGTAAGAAAGAAGAAGAACGTAAAAGAAAGTTAGCTGCACGAAACAAGTTAGTTAAAGATAAGAACGATGCCATTAGAAAAGCTGAACTGTTGCAGAAGAAGTTACTCCAATCACATAAAGTCTCGGACGCTGCAAGAAAAGCTTTTATTAAAGCGCAAAAAGCATTGGAATCGGGATCAAGAAAGAAGACTAAAGAATTACTTGCTAAATTGAAAGAAGCTACACACGGTGGGCAATTGAGTAAAAAAGAAAACAAACTCTTGAAGCTTGAAATGATGAAAATGAAAAAGATGTTGGCTGAGAGTAAGAAGAAGAAATGCACAAAACCAAAGTGCAACTGCCAGAAGATTAAAAAACTTAAAATTAAGGTCCACAAACTTAAAGATAAATTGTGCGATATGAAGGCTAAAATTGCTGTTGCTAATGTCGAACTCAAGAACCAAAAAAGAATTGCTGAAGAGGCTAAGAAACAGAGAGACGAGAAGATCAATAAGATTAAAGAAAAGTTTGAGGACAAACTCGACAAAATCAAAAACAAAAAAGAGGATAAAAAAGCCGAGAAAAAGGCTAAAAAAGCATCCAAACAGTAAATGAGTTTTTTTTGTTATTTATAAGTTATTTATTATTACTTTATAACTTCTCAATGTAAATTTGTTTTAATTGTTTTTTATAATAATATGAATAATTTGAATAATTCTATTTATAGTATAGATGGTAATTAATGTATTCTTTCATCTGGTGTTAATTTGCGTGTCAATTATTTAATTATTACATCGATGTGATTTGATTACGAAAATGTCTAAATAAACTCAAAGAAAGGAAACATTTGTTATTAAAAATAGCTTTGTTAATCTTAACTGACAGACACCCCATTTCACCATTTAAAATTGAATTAGTTTTTTAGTCTAAATTTCTTGACCTCCGTTATACTTACAACCCAAATCAGTAAATTTTCTACGCCGTATCATTTTAAAGTTAATGATCAAGGCTATACATTATTCTAAACGGTTTGTTCATTTATAAATAAATAAACACATAAACATCAAAAACTTATTATTTAGATTTACTTTTGTATTTCTCTTACTGCATTTTCTTTAATAAGTCTCTTACTATTTGTGAAAGCAACAAATGTATTATTCTGTTTCCTTGTTATTAAGTATTTGCTTTAAATTCAAATGTCCAATTGTTTTTCAAAATACCAACACACAATTAAATGCTTTAATTTGGTCAATAACATGTGAGTTTGTTTCTTTTTTTTATAAATAAACACAATTGTATAGTATTTTTAATTAAAATATTATATTCATTAAAAATAGAATGATCCTATATTATAAAAATAATTAATAAATAATTTGGTTTATATTTGTTATTAAATTAAATAACAAACTAAAAAATATAATTTATTTTGTCATTGATTAACAGTTGTGTGGAGCTGTTTTTATTAATTTCTTGTTTTTTGGTTATTTTTAAAAATAAAAATGTTGATGTTTTATCTAAAATATGGTTTATTATACCAAAATAAAACTAGAGTGAAAATATAATTTTTCAATCAAGACAACTCTATTGAAAATAGTAAATAAAATAACTTATTTATTAATTATTAATTTTTTTTAGTGTCAAATTAAAAAACTACCAGAAAATATTATAAATGAACTAATTATACATTATCCTTTTTTCCAATTTTTTGGGGGTTTTTTCCAACAAAAATAAAAAAGAATGGCTCTATCAACTATATTAATATAGTATGAGAATAATTACAAAATAGTAAAAACACCGAAGAAAAATACTAATTACCAACGAAACTTCAAATAGAAAAGTAATGTTCACTCCAAAAGCAAAGCGCGTCCAGACACTGAGCAGTCGTTCTCAGTTGGATGCCCATAAACGGATTCGTCGTGAAACTCTTCCAACAAATCAAGACACTCCCGCTGTTCTGTTATTTCAAGACACTCCACAAGAAGAAAATGCTTCTTCAATTTTAACACCAAACACTTGCTACGCCGACTTGGAAGTGTTTTCACTTATGTCTGCCGATTTCCAGAACAAAAGCAAAGAGGAGAGATCTCAATGCCCAGGATTGACTCACCCAGATTTGTAATATAATTCTTTTGTTGTTATATTGTATCTATGATAAACTATATTATATTAATTAATATTTAAATTGTTTATCATTACCAATTTATTTTTTAGTAATATTAAATCATTTTTATAATATAACTGATATTCTTATATAAAATAGATATATTTTAATAATAATATAATAATAATGTATAATATAATTTAATATAAGGGCATGACACTGGATTGGCGTTTTTTAGTGGATTGGTGTATAAAAGGGAAAAATAGACTGAAATATCGGGCACCAAAAAATTGAAAAAAAAATAAAATTTTGAAAAATCAGAGATCGATTTTGCCAAAAAGACTCTTATTCAAATGATATCCATTCTCTTTCACTGAGAAGATTAATGATAAACGTGTTTAGGTGATTATTGCCAAGACCGAAACATTTAAAAAAATTCGTAAAAAATAGTATTGTTTTCACGTTTTTAAACACAAGAATGTTTTTTTTATTTTTTGGGTTAATTTTTTGTTTTGTTTTTTATAGTTTATAACGGTATCAGATAAATGATCTTGTTAATGATACATTGTAATGATAAGTAATTTACACTACGATCTACAAAATGTATTCCGATATTCCAAGTATAGTTTTATGTTGGTAGTTGAATTAAAAGTATACTAAAACAAAAAATAGAGAACTTGAAATAAAATTGGGTTATTTTTTTCAAAATTTTGGGAGATCGTCCTAAAAAGTTACTGTGGATGGATCGATTTCGGTGGATGCGTTAAAACAGCTATATTTAAGCTATTATATCGGGATTATTTGTTTATGGGATTTTTGACGTTTTCAACAAAATATAATCACTAATTCAGCAAATCATGTTCAATCATCCATATTTTATTGTTAAAAATAAAGTTAATTTCTTTTTGTAAAACTTAACTTTTTGTTGTGTTTTTTAATTATATTAAAAAAAGAAATTTAGTAAATGTTAGATTTACCAAAATTTATCTTTTTTAATTATACTTGATCTGCAAACAGA